TTCCACAAAAAACTGGGGAAAGGAGAACAATCCCGTGTGCGTGGTGGCGCAGTCCTCCGAGTTGGAAAAAATCCTATCTCTTTATTATATACAGTATGTATCCATTCTTCAGGATCTGCTTTTATCCCGATAACGGCCAGTCCTGCAAAAAGTTATGTTCGTGTATATATCTGCTCCGTTTCAACCTCTTCACGCTCAAATCCTGGAGATTAGAATAATAATGAGTTAGTTTGTGCCATTTTACGAGACCACGGCGATACTTGCGCAGCAGCAAAACCCCGTAATAAGCCTGCCCTTCTTCTGGTCTAACTTAAAGCCCTCTCCATCCCCTTCGCCACCTACGGCCGGCATCCAGCCCCGCCGCAGATGACAAGCCTTTCAAAATAATCACACCCACCATCGCTTCGGGGAGCAGGCGCAAATATTTGCCCTGAGAGAAATATTTATTTGCACTACATCGTCCGATTCTGTCGACCCAGTTTATTATTATTATTATTATTATTATTATTATTATTGCATCGTATTACTTGTTTTGACTAGAAAAAATATATGGTATCTAAATTACATTTATTTTTTAAGATATGACTCATTGCTTCCAATTTATCTGTCTACACGCTGTATTTGCCTACAGCGATTCATTCCACTCCTAGGTAATTATACAATTCTAATGGAATCCTTCCAGAATTTAGTTCTAACCTAGATTAGTTACACAATAAATATATTAAAATGTGAAGCTGGCAGTGTCAATGTGGAAGGAAAATTTATTTGTTTGCTTGGTGGTTTGTTTGGCCCACGACCTTGACCGGCGGTTAGACACCGAACAGATTTATCTGTTTGTTTGTTTATTGTTTGTTTATTGGGAACACGGCTGCATTTCCTGATTGCGTATTTGATTTGTTTGCTACAATGATGTGACGTGCGCTGTTTCTGGAAACATCCCCGTGCTTATAGCATTGCCTTCAAAAGTTAAGTGTAGCATTCGTCGGATTTTGTTGGCGTTCTTCTCCAGCCGGTTTTATCGGTTCACTCGAAGAGAGAATGGTCAGGTTCCACACCCACATCCACGGCTTTCTCAGTGTCTTCAGACGTCCTTTTATCCTTTTCATCCTTCTGTAATCTTCAAAAGAACATATTTAATCTGATTTACCTACCAACCATACTCTTGGCAGTGTGGCAAATCAAAAAAGAAAAAAAAAGAAATTTTTTTAAGGGTGCCAGAGACAAATACTTAACCTGTACCATTGTACATGTTTTCTGCCAGCAAATAGTAACTGGATTTTTTTTACTGAAGCAGGTTGAAATTTGAAGGAAAACCATTTTCTCTTGATTAGAATGCTTAATTTCAATGGTACCAGGAACTTTAAAGTACTAAAAGTTTGATATATCACTAGAGTAACATTTTACTTGAAGCTATAATCTATAATAAACTATAGATACCTTCATAATACATTATAATGGTTGGTGTAAGAATTAATAAATCATTACAGTATCTTCTATCGACATAAGTCATAAGGCATTATAGTGTTGATTATAATACTTCATAAGCTCCAGTTGTTATGGTGGGACATCTGGAATGGAGGTCCATGTAGCAGCTCCAAGACAACAATAATTAAACAGCACTAGACATGAGAAAGACTTGAGAGATACAAAACACAAAGGAATAAAATAAAACTATAAATTAAAAAGGTGACTCATGTCTAGCGAGGTTTAGCATCTGAGCTCCTTGTTCAGCCCAGTAGCCCAGGGAGCAGGGAAACAGACTAGGGGATGAAGGACTACAAGACAGACAGGGGGGGGAAGCGGGATGACCAGCGACACCTGCTGGCCAACAGGGGACAATACACATAGGACAGGGACAGACGGGTACCGACCCTGACACTTTTTGGCTAAGTGGCCTTATCTGCTATATTAAGGCAAGAGGTAGAAGAGAAGATCACACAGAAGAGACATCTACATCGGAGGGATGGGGGGGGGGGGGGGCAGATAGAAAATATCCTGGATTCTGCAGAATTCTGTACTGATGCAAAACTGTGTCTTCCTATCAATTATAAGAGAGCTGGACAACCATTCCAGTGTTAATGGAGGAGAAACATGTGTTATAATAAGCTGAAGTGGTGCTGGTCTACAGCTCAGGGATTAGGGATCAGTGTCTGGAAGCCTGTGGTTTCCAGTCCTGTGTCAAATGTCATTTGGACCCTTAAGCAAGGCCATTAATCCCAACTGCTCCAGAGATGTTGGCTAACCCTGTCGTCTAACCCCAAGCTTTCCTCACTTGTACATCACTTTGGACAAAAGTGTGGGCTAAATAAATAAATGTACTCAACTGCCTTACTTCCATAGCAAATGTCCAACAGACTAGAATACTTATCAGCTCAGTAACTCATGTCAGCAGAATACTGAAAGCTGACTACTGCAATGTATTTAACTCCTGGTGTTTACAGAACTACACTGTATCCATACAGTAGAACAAAAATGATAGTATTTCTGTTATCCTGTTTACCTCAGTCCCCCGGAGGGCAGTGGAAGTTTTTGGCTTTAAAGCCTTTTGCTCTCCCCTCGCCCTTATCCCTTGAGCAGTTTCTAACCTCGGAAATTTGACAACAATTACATCGTGACCAGATAACAGTTTGTAGGACCTGAATAGGAAACAACCAAAATCAGTGCTCAGGGCAAAAAGTAAGGGTGTGGGGAGATTGACGCACAAGAAACAAAACCACGTTAAGAAACGCAAAGGCCTATCATTAACATAGTTTCTTAACATAACAAATATGTGTCATTTACTTATATGTTTAATTACCATTTCTATGCGTTGATTAAACACCAGATGATTTATATGAACTGAGACTACTGATTAAAGTCACTTGTTTTAATTATCACTTTTTAAAAAATATATATTGATTTTAATGCATTCATTGTCTTTTAACAATGAATAATAATGCCTTTAGCAAAAAAGAACAGCATAACAATGAAATAAATCACTGAAGTGAACACAGAACCTTGACCTCTGGATGCACTTTCTTTTAGCAGCAAGTTTCATGTTCAGCTAGGAAGTGATATATCATCAGAATTTATCATCTGAATTATTGCACTTAGTGTGCAAACGCCATTATTATTCAGCTACTAGTTGGCCACGCCTAAACCTCCAAATGCGGCTTGGTTGACCACTGACTGAGCTTAAAACCCCAATAAAACAGCATGCTTTTGGGCCAGCAGAATTCCTGGAGCTTGTATGTGCCTGCACTGCCGCAGCAATAGCCCAGCACAGGACTGTCTGTACCCAGTTTGTGTTAACCTTGCTAGACGCCTAAAGCAAGACCATAATTTTGTGTGTGGGTAGGATGGTGTGCATACGCCTTAAGAAACCATTAAATAAAAGTATTGTCTAACAAGTTGTTATAGGAGTAAAGTAGGATAAGTTGCAAAAGAAGTTGATAATGAAAGAAGATGGAAGGAAATGCAGTGATTATCAGCTACTCATTGACTGACTATCAATCTTGCTTCAGCTCAGCCATGAACTGGAAATTTTAGTAACACACTGGGGCCTGCAGTATACAGTTAATCTGCAGGATTACTGAGTCTAGTGGTATGTGACTTTGAACTGTGATTCCATGTGAACTATGACTCAGTGATATACAGAGGAGGAAAACAGTGGGGCCACTATGGGTGTACTGGCTGGATAGAGGTGAAATAAGCTCTTGGATATTTTCAGCATTGACTGTAAATCTCTCTTACCATATTGGCTCTACTAGAATTAGACCTCTCTGCACATGAACCCAAAAGGAAACTGATCTTTAGTTTTGTTGTAGTAAACTGTCACTCTGGCAACAGTCTTCAAAGATATTTATAAACATCTTTTATGAAAAAAAATATTACTGACATCAGGAAGAGCAGGAAATCCTCCACTTCTGCAGAAGTGAAAAGGCCATAAACATCCTCTTTCTTTTGCCCCATCTCTCTAAAAATTAATCAAGAGCAAATAAGCTTTATAAACAGGTGACATACCATAAAATATCTTCTGTATGTTGAGGAGTTTAGATGTCTTGCTTGGTGTCTTGCTGCTGTCAGTGGCAAACTGAAAAGATTTTCGGAATGTTTGCATGTTGTCATACCTTAATAATAGGAGAAAGCAATGATTCCATATAGATGGAATCCCTGAATCACTCAGACACAGGAACACACACGGTTCCTCTTAAGAAATGGGGCACCTATGATAATATGAAGTTATATCCTGGTGTATGGGATTCCTTTGAAGTGTTTTGAACCATTTATTTCTTGGCTTATATGGGAGCCAAAGAATCTCTATTGTTGTAACTCGCAGACCAGGAGCACCAGGGCTGTTTTGCCTATTGGGGCGAACAGCAGTAATTACTGAATAGGCTCTTCCGCTATATAACGAACAATTTGTTTTTATCTTTTGTAGCACTGGGGCTCTTTAGAAAGACCACCCACATATTGCAAATACTACCCTTCTTTTTTTGCTGTCCACATTACCTAAGCTTGTCATGCATTCAACTTGTCTTCAATATACTGAAAAGCAGTGGGCAGATGATTTGATTTCAAAATGAATCTCATCCCTCTGTCTCTCTGCACTGTTTATGTTAGGGACCTGTTAAGGTCTGTTCTCAGATTGCCTACAATCTGTGTTACAACGTATAACTTCAAATTAATTACAATGTTACTTTTGTCACCTAGCTATAAAATGTTGAAGGTATTACACACTGCAGATCTTGCTAATATTTATAAACTATTTATGAAGTTCTTGCTAATTAGTTAGTATTGGCTCAGTATCAGTTTTCTTCATTCCTTATATTTTTTGCATTCTTTTTCGCACAGTTTAATAATGAAACATGCGGTACAGTTAAATGGGAAAATGCATAATTTGTAATTAAGCAGAGATGGATTTGAACAAATTAGCCATATAAAGGTTAAAATGCATGGTAATTTCTTGTCATAATGCACATAATTTTTTTTTTCCACTGTTACAACAGAAAATTGCCACACGTATTGCAGTATACAGCAGATGTGTATTTGTGTGCAGTTGTGTGCATCCCTATTAATATGTTTAAATCTAAATGCTCTTGAGTTTCTGCTACAGATTCCATAGAGGAAGTGGAATCCAGTGAGCTGGGAAGGGTTATGTAGTAACTCTAGGTGAAGCAAAAGTGGAAGGACAGTTCTTTGGAATAATGAATGTTTGGGATTCCCCCATTCGGGATCTCCATGGCTGCCCAGGCAGTCCTGTGCTTCCCCTCAGACTGCTGATTAAAAGCAGATGTGCTACATTGAGGAAATGATGCTTTAAACTGAAGCTCTGGGAAAGGACACCTGTTTCAATGTGTTCAATTGGTGTAAATGCCTGATTTGTTTATAGTTGCCCTGATGAGGGTTGGGAGACTCACCAGGAAGAGAGCAGTCAGTTATTACTTTAATTTTATGGTATATGATTAATTTTTATTCATGTTGTTTTATTTTACTTCTACGTTTTATTCCATTATGTTATATCCATATGATTGAAATTCCATACATTGTAATTCTGCATAGTGAAATTTTCCATGTCTTTTACTTCCGTGAATGAAGGGGAGTCTGTACCGCTTCCAGAACAAAAAATAAATGTTTCACTTAAACAAGACGGACAAGAAGCACATGACTGTGCATGACTGCTCAGTGGGTAGCGCACTCACACATTTCCTTGCACCTCCATGGTTGGGGGCTGGAATTCCACCTCTCTCCTGCGTGTGAGGAGGTTGTACGTCCTCCTCGCGTCGTACTTGTTTCTCCTGATTAGTCTGCTTGTCTCCCACAGTCCAAAGACACGCAGTAATGTAGGCTGATGGTTCTAAAATACCCATAGTGTGTTTGCATGTGTGGACATGCATGCTCTACGATGGACTGACATCCTGTTTAGAAGGTACCCTGGCCCCATGCTGTTTTGGATGCTTCAGACTTGCAACCCTTCAGACCTATAAGTGCAGGAAGATGGATGGATGGATGGATGGATGGATAAAATGAACATCTCTTACAGGGTTTAATTTTAATATGAGAAATATCCACTAACAGATTCAATAAACAAAAAAGTACAAATGAGTATGAGTGGGTTATACTACAATAACTACAAGTGTAAGTGAAGTGTGGTGATTGTTTTTTAAGTCCATGGTTATTGAATTACTGTGATTTGCAACTCATGGGGTGTCTGTGCTGTTTTATTTTTTTCCACCTCTCTCACCTGTTTTCAATGCTTGCCTGGAAGGCACTCCAGGTGTTTCCAGGTGTTCGATTCCCAGAAAGGGTCTGCAACCTGCATTCCTGGCCGTGGTCTCATTAAGAGCCTGCAGAGAGAAACACCCACTGGGACTAAGTATATAATAAGAGGGACAAGAGGCAATTTTGGCCTGCAGGCCACCGGCGCCGCTCACTAAGCACAGAAGGCCTGGGCCGCACGCTGACCTCTGCACTCTCTGTGTGGAGAATTATTTGTCAACATAATCTCTGCTAATCGCCAACATGCCTGGATTCTGTACTAATATCACCTAGATTCTTCTATATTTTGGATTATAACAACTAATTACTAAAACGCTACATGGTGCTGCCATTAAAGTGATGGAAATATTACGTTTACATAAATGACACTTTGTTATTGCATTGTTATGCTCAATAACAACTCTTATAATGTACTCTTTGCCTCAGTCGTACCTCACTTTGGACAAATGTCTGTTAATTACATAAATGTAACTGTATTCATAAGTATTACAGTCCTACTCTGAAGCAGTCAGTGATGTTTTATAAAGCACTGATCACAAGCACGTTTTATTACCCTTGCAGATACAGCTTGTACTTACCGTGCCTGTTTACACAGACAGAGACAGTGATGGGAAGCAGTAGGCTGGATGTTTCTTTGCCATTCGCTGGCAGCAGCTCTCGGCTCTGCTGAGGATAAGCAGCTGGACCATTTGGGAAATCACAAGGCTATTATGGTCAATTTCTGAATCTCCAAACCTCCGCTGCACCATACAAGCCTTAACGAGCCCTAATGCATCCCCTCAATTTTTATGCACTTGCAGTTTAATCCAAGAGATCTCAAAGAAATTCCGGGTACCGTACAGCAGAGTGACTTTAGTAAACCAGCAATTGTAATTTATTCGTCGACCTATATTTGCAGCATGGAAAGATAAGTATATTTCTGAATTTCAATGCTTACAAGAGGCTACAAGATTGAAGTATTGCAGGATAAATGTCCGGGATTGCTGTGGTTGGCTGTCTGAATGACAGCTCATTCTGTGGGCTTTAATAATAGCTGTGTTTATGTGGCCTCCATGGTGGCCCCTCCAGCTGGAGATGTGGTTATAAAGCCACATTTTTTTCTAAACTCAGAGGGTGGCGTGTTGTTAGCTCGCTGGCCTGATCTTTATCATACTTTAAAACCCTGATAATTTATTATCCTTTTCCTATTTCTACTGCATGTATATCACCCCAAGAAACCTCCTCTGGCAGATTCTCCAGCAGCGTTTGTTTATACGGCACTCCTTGCCAGTGGCCTATCTGTAGGTGTCCGTGCTACAGTGTCTCGGGTTTGTGAAAACATTAGGTGCAAAAAATAAAAATAAATCCTCACAAATCTAGTTTATGTTAATATTGAACATATTATTACTGTGAGTTTATTTCTATAATATGTAAATAATGCTTTGGACCTCTATGCAGGTAACCCCATATTCACTGTGTAGCCAGTCTCTTATATAATGAGTAAAGTAGGATCCAGCTTTAATCTGAATTGTGTTATTCTCTTTATTTTCAATGTATTATTCTGCTAAAAGCAATAAATGCTTAATTTTTTAGATTGAAAGCTTTAATAGGCCCCATGGCCCCGGAAGGATGGATGGATGGATGGATGGATACTTTTCATGCATAGTTTAAAGCTCAGTTGCAGATTGATATAATGTCAGTTCATCCTTCACTTTAACAGTGTACATGGTAGGGACTGAAAGCAATGGGTAAAACAGCAATAAGACAATGGTCTGGAAAAAATAGTAATTTTTTGATGTATTAAGTTTACAGGACTCTCATTGCTTTTAATGTTTACCAGCTGGATTTGCTCATAGCTTTGGAGAGTAATGCCTTTGCTTGTGCTTTTGTTAGTCACTGGAATCTCATGGAAAAAGTAACAATGTTAGTGGATGACTGGGTTTCTGGGTCAAAAACGTGGATGGTTTTGATTTCATATAAATTAAATTTAAATATTTTTTTAGAGAAAATAATGCTTGCCTTTTTCTTATTAATGTTATTAGGAACCTCACACGAATGCTGAGTAGTATTCCATGTACTGGCATCTAAAACGCATCCTGTTGGATGGAACAATTGATTTTTCTAAAAAATGTGAAAGAAGCAATTAAAAGTTTCCTGACACAAAACAAATTCCTTCTTAACCCCATGAGCACTATCCATACAGTATATAACTCTGGAAAAAGTTAAGAGACCACAGCAACCTTTATAGTTTCACTTACTTCTCAGTTTATGGGTCTGCGTCTGTGTAAAACATATATTTTTTTGCAAACTGCAGCCTGGTTCTTCCCTGCTTCTCATTGAAGGGCTTCTTTCTTGCTTTATGGGACTTCAGTCCTGCTTCTAGGAGCCTGTTATGAATTGCCCTAGCAGTGCACTTCACACCCCTTAATGTTCCCCATTCTGTTTGAAGGTCACTTGAGGTCATCCTCTGATGAAGCACTGCCGGATAAGTTGACAGTCATNAAGATCACACAGAAGAGACATCTACATCGGAGGGGGGGGGGGGGGGGGGGGCAGATAGAAAATATCCTGGATTCTGCAGAATTCTGTACTGATGCAAAACTGTGTCTTCCTATCAATTATAAGAGAGCTGGACAACCATTCCAGTGTTAATGGAGGAGAAACATGTGTTATAATAAGCTGAAGTGGTGCTGGTCTACAGCTCAGGGATTAGGGATCAGTGTCTGGAAGCCTGTGGTTTCCAGTCCTGTGTCAAATGTCATTTGGACCCTTAAGCAAGGCCATTAATCCCAACTGCTCCAGAGATGTTGGCTAACCCTGTCGTCTAACCCCAAGCTTTCCTCACTTGTACATCACTTTGGACAAAAGTGTGGGCTAAATAAATAAATGTACTCAACTGCCTTACTTCCATAGCAAATGTCCAACAGACTAGAATACTTATCAGCTCAGTAACTCATGTCAGCAGAATACTGAAAGCTGACTACTGCAATGTATTTAACTCCTGGTGTTTACAGAACTACACTGTATCCATACAGTAGAACAAAAATGATAGTATTTCTGTTATCCTGTTTACCTCAGTCCCCCGGAGGGCAGTGGAAGTTTTTGGCTTTAAAGCCTTTTGCTCTCCCCTCGCCCTTATCCCTTGAGCAGTTTCTAACCTCGGAAATTTGACAACAATTACATCGTGACCAGATAACAGTTTGTAGGACCTGAATAGGAAACAACCAAAATCAGTGCTCAGGGCAAAAAGTAAGGGTGTGGGGAGATTGACGCACAAGAAACAAAACCACGTTAAGAAACGCAAAGGCCTATCATTAACATAGTTTCTTAACATAACAAATATGTGTCATTTACTTATATGTTTAATTACCATTTCTATGCGTTGATTAAACACCAGATGATTTATATGAACTGAGACTACTGATTAAAGTCACTTGTTTTAATTATCACTTTTTAAAAAATATATATTGATTTTAATGCATTCATTGTCTTTTAACAATGAATAATAATGCCTTTAGCAAAAAAGAACAGCATAACAATGAAATAAATCACTGAAGTGAACACAGAACCTTGACCTCTGGATGCACTTTCTTTTAGCAGCAAGTTTCATGTTCAGCTAGGAAGTGATATATCATCAGAATTTATCATCTGAATTATTGCACTTAGTGTGCAAACGCCATTATTATTCAGCTACTAGTTGGCCACGCCTAAACCTCCAAATGCGGCTTGGTTGACCACTGACTGAGCTTAAAACCCCAATAAAACACCATGCTTTTGGGCCAGCAGAATTCCTGGAGCTTGTATGTGCCTGCACTGCCGCAGCAATAGCCCAGCACAGGACTGTCTGTACCCAGTTTGTGTTAACCTTGCTAGACGCCTAAAGCAAGACCATAATTTTGTGTGTGGGTAGGATGGTGTGCATACGCCTTAAGAAACCATTAAATAAAAGTATTGTCTAACAAGTTGTTATAGGAGTAAAGTAGGATAAGTTGCAAAAGAAGTTGATAATGAAAGAAGATGGAAGGAAATGCAGTGATTATCAGCTACTCATTGACTGACTATCAATCTTGCTTCAGCTCAGCCATGAACTGGAAATTTTAGTAACACACTGGGGCCTGCAGTATACAGTTAATCTGCAGGATTACTGAGTCTAGTGGTATGTGACTTTGAACTGTGATTCCATGTGAACTATGACTCAGTGATATACAGAGGAGGAAAACAGTGGGGCCACTATGGGTGTACTGGCTGGATAGAGGTGAAATAAGCTCTTGGATATTTTCAGCATTGACTGTAAATCTCTCTTACCATATTGGCTCTACTAGAATTAGACCTCTCTGCACATGAACCCAAAAGGAAACTGATCTTTAGTTTTGTTGTAGTAAACTGTCACTCTGGCAACAGTCTTCAAAGATATTTATAAACATCTTTTATGAAAAAAAATATAACTGACATCAGGAAGAGCAGGAAATCCTCCACTTCTGCAGAAGTGAAAAGGCCATAAACATCCTCTTTCTTTTGCCCCATCTCTCTAAAAATTAATCAAGAGCAAATAAGCTTTATAAACAGGTGACATACCATAAAATATCTTCTGTATGTTGAGGAGTTTAGATGTCTTGCTTGGTGTCTTGCTGCTGTCAGTGGCAAACTGAAAAGATTTTCGGAATGTTTGCATGTTGTCATACCTTAATAATAGGAGAAAGCAATGATTCCATATAGATGGAATCCCTGAATCACTCAGACACAGGAACACACACGGTTCCTCTTAAGAAATGGGGCACCTATGATAATATGAAGTTATATCCTGGTGTATGGGATTCCTTTGAAGTGTTTTGAACCATTTATTTCTTGGCTTATATGGGAGCCAAAGAATCTCTATTGTTGTAACTCGCAGACCAGGAGCACCAGGGCTGTTTTGCCTATTGGGGCGAACAGCAGTAATTACTGAATAGGCTCTTCCGCTATATAACGAACAATTTGTTTTTATCTTTTGTAGCACTGGGGCTCTTTAGAAAGACCACCCACATATTGCAAATACTACCCTTCTTTTTTTGCTGTCCACATTACCTAAGCTTGTCATGCATTCAACTTGTCTTCAATATACTGAAAAGCAGTGGGCAGATGATTTGATTTCAAAATGAATCTCATCCCTCTGTCTCTCTGCACTGTTTATGTTAGGGACCTGTTAAGGTCTGTTCTCAGATTGCCTACAATCTGTGTTACAACGTATAACTTCAAATTAATTACAATGTTACTTTTGTCACCTAGCTATAAAATGTTGAAGGTATTACACACTGCAGATCTTGCTAATATTTATAAACTATTTATGAAGTTCTTGCTAATTAGTTAGTATTGGCTCAGTATCAGTTTTCTTCATTCCTTATATTTTTTGCATTCTTTTTCGCACAGTTTAATAATGAAACATGCGGTACAGTTAAATGGGAAAATGCATAATTTGTAATTAAGCAGAGATGGATTTGAACAAATTAGCCATATAAAGGTTAAAATGCATGGTAATTTCTTGTCATAATGCACATAATTTTTTTTTTCCACTGTTACAACAGAAAATTGCCACACGTATTGCAGTATACAGCAGATGTGTATTTGTGTGCAGTTGTGTGCATCCCTATTAATATGTTTAAATCTAAATGCTCTTGAGTTTCTGCTACAGATTCCATAGAGGAAGTGGAATCCAGTGAGCTGGGAAGGGTTATGTAGTAACTCTAGGTGAAGCAAAAGTGGAAGGACAGTTCTTTGGAATAATGAATGTTTGGGATTCCCCCATTCGGGATCTCCATGGCTGCCCAGGCAGTCCTGTGCTTCCCCTCAGACTGCTGATTAAAAGCAGATGTGCTACATTGAGGAAATGATGCTTTAAACTGAAGCTCTGGGAAAGGACACCTGTTTCAATGTGTTCAATTGGTGTAAATGCCTGATTTGTTTATAGTTGCCCTGATGAGGGTTGGGAGACTCACCAGGAAGAGAGCAGTCAGTTATTACTTTAATTTTATGGTATATGATTAATTTTTATTCATGTTGTTTTATTTTACTTCTACGTTTTATTCCATTATGTTATATCCATATGATTGAAATTCCATACATTGTAATTCTGCATAGTGAAATTTTCCATGTCTTTTACTTCCGTGAATGAAGGGGAGTCTGTACCGCTTCCAGAACAAAAAATAAATGTTTCACTTAAACAAGACGGACAAGAAGCACATGACTGTGCATGACTGCTCAGTGGGTAGCGCACTCACACATTTCCTTGCACCTCCATGGTTGGGGGCTGGAATTCCACCTCTCTCCTGCGTGTGAGGAGGTTGTACGTCCTCCTCGCGTCATACTTGTTTCTCCTGATTAGTCTGCTTGTCTCCCACAGTCCAAAGACACGCAGTAATGTAGGCTGATGGTTCTAAAATACCCATAGTGTGTTTGCATGTGTGGACATGCATGCTCTACGATGGACTGACATCCTGTTTAGAAGGTACCCTGGCCCCATGCTGTTTTGGATGCTTCAGACTTGCAACCCTTCAGACCTATAAGTGCAGGAAGATGGATGGATGGATGGATGGATGGATAAAATGAACATCTCTTACAGGGTTTAATTTTAATATGAGAAATATCCACTAACAGATTCAATAAACAAAAAAGTACAAATGAGTATGAGTGGGTTATACTACAATAACTACAAGTGTAAGTGAAGTGTGGTGATTGTTTTTTAAGTCCATGGTTATTGAATTACTGTGATTTGCAACTCATGGGGTGTCTGTGCTGTTTTATTTTTTTCCACCTCTCTCACCTGTTTTCAATGCTTGCCTGGAAGGCACTCCAGGTGTTTCCAGGTGTTCGATTCCCAGAAAGGGTCTGCAACCTGCATTCCTGGCCGTGGTCTCATTAAGAGCCTGCAGAGAGAAACACCCACTGGGACTAAGTATATAATAAGAGGGACAAGAGG